CCCGTCACTAACGAACTATTGGAGTTTATATAATACGTACAAAGTTAAAAAAAAATGTGACCTTTGTGTAAAGTTTTTGTATATCATTAAATGTTTTTTCTGTATTTTAAAATAAATCTTGTTTATTGCGTATTAATATATAAATACGAACAGAATTCTGATAACTAAACTGATAATTACATTCGGGTTTTAAATCACTGTTCATTTACTATCGAATTGATAATTTGCAGTTATAAAATGACATTTTCCAAACTTTTGATTATCTTTCTTCGTTTAATTGATTTAGAAGTAGCAACAGAAGAGAATAATTAGTTAATTAGTAATTCTTTAATATCTTTAATGTTATCTTTATAATCGGCTCGCCGAATATCGTAAAGCCACGGATATGTTCTGACTTCGTTTATTAAACACTCCGAAAAATCCATAGTTTCCGCCATTTTCTAACTTCGACGTAGATTGGATAAATCTAAACTCTGATTGGTTATAACTTCGAAGCTCTCATTGGCTGTAGCTCACCGACTGCTCCGACCCGACTACAAATATTTAACTTTTCAAATCTGTCCGACTGGAACGANATTTAACAAAAAAGAAAGAATAAAACGAATACTAATAGACATTTTGCTATTTATTAACCAAAACCGAATTCTATTAAATTATTTTATTGTCTAAGACGTAAATTCCGACTGTTTAGGATCCCGGTAAATTGAATCGACAACTGTATTTACTACTTGGAGTTTTATCGATAATATTCAATCATATCTATTATATAAATTTATCTATACACACTGTATTTACGTTTTAACTATTGTAAATATCATTAAGAAGATAGGTCAATAGTATTAAAAGTATCGATCCTCTTACTTATTTTATCGTAACCGGTCATACTCCAAATATCACAAAGATTTCGGTTATTTGCCAAAACGGGCTTCTCGTCGATTTTTATCTGAAATGATAAAAATACAATAATCGTTATATTTTCACAGCAGTCGATATTTATACAAAAATGTGAAAAAATATATATTTTAACCGAAAGATAAAATTCCATTTATTCAATAAATTTCTTCGAGATACGTGCTTACTAACGCGTTAGCTTTGTTGTCGAATTATAGAAATTCATTCACATAATTATTAGTATAAATCTCCTCATATTACCGTATTTGAATTAAGAAAAAGTGGTTTGTTGCAATTAAACTTTGCCGGACTTATATTCCAGTTGTAATACTGTAACGAATTGCTTTTCCGTTTAAACCCTATTCCCTCCCTACTAAATTTACAGCGTTTCTTATAAGATGGTAAAAGCCGATTTTATTAAATTCTTTTTCGCATATTTTTCCTTCCCAATTTTAGTGGTATAAAACTGACGGAACAATCATTCGACTTCTCGCTATTACTTATTTAATTATATTTTCTTCTTTATAATTACAATAAATTTGTAGGCCTACGGTCTTTACGCGACCGATTCTGTAATACGCGAGATATTTACCAGTTAACATTTTTTGAAAAAATGCAAAAGTTCGCGAATCGGGGTTTTTATATAATTTAAAATTGCCTTTTTTTTAAATTTCGGGATAGATACGCGTTGTTTTTCTACTTTATCTAGAAACACTTCCTGTCTCTCCGATTATCGTATTTCTTTTCAAAATTGACGAGAAAAAGTTTTTAAAAAGACAAAAGTCCGACTTATTTTCTTTAAAAAGAAATTAATTTATTGTATCGTTTAACGTACCGGTTACGAAGCCGTAGCGTGTTCCGTGTCTAACAAAAGAAACCTCGTCGTTTTAGCGTCGACAGAACCCGAGACGTTTACGTTCGAAGTTGTAATTTATGACAGTGGACGTCGAGTGACACCGACCGATACGGCGACGTCTCCCGGGTGCGATAGTCGCTTTTTATTTTATATCGCTTTCAAATATTTAAAGTTTAATAAATGTCTGCAATATAGTTACTCGAATTGTCTTTTCTTTAGGTTGTTCGATTATACACCGACCGACGAGTTGGTCTTTACGCCCTCTAGCCGTAAATAATCCCGCCGAACTGCACCGCCCTAAAGCACACCTTCTGGCCGTTAATTGGCTGGTACGGTTGTCGTTTAAACAGTTCTTGCGCTCCGAGTGGTGATCGCTGTTGGGAGTGACTCTACTTCTACCAATCGGCGTCGATTCGGAACGATCTGTTCGGAATTTCCCCGGAAAATACGACGTCCNCCTAAAGCACACCTTCTGGCCGTTAATTGGCTGGTACGGTTGTCGTTTAAACAGTTCTTGCGCTCCGAGTGGTGATCGCTGTTGGGAGTGACTCTACTTCTACCAATCGGCGTCGATTCGGAACGATCTGTTCGGAATTTCCCCGGAAAATACGACGTCCATTCCAGATGACGTGGCGGGATTCGGAACGTAATCAAACGTTAAAAATGTTTTATTTTCTTCGTTCCCTAGCCTTAATTTCGCTATTTTCTCGTTAAATGAGTTTTTTAGACTAGAAAATGTCTTATCGGAAGCATCCGACCGTAACAACGAATAGTTCTTCCTAGATGGGTTATCGCCTTCGTATAACTTTAGTTGGATTTTTGGTTATATTTATTTCCATAATTTATCGATAATGAAAGAAATTCATGAAATAATATTTTCCAATAGTTTATTCATCGTTCCAAATGCTATTGACTTCCATAGAGTAGTGAATCGTAATGAATCGCTAATCTTTAACAATTCTAATTGTATAATGAACCGAACCGAATCGTTTATAATGTCAAAGCGATCAATTTTGTTCTTTATACGTAACTGATTATAATGAAGAAACACGGACGGTTCTAATTAATACTGTTAGGTTTGCTGAATAATTTCGTCGATCGATTAAATATTCCGCAGTTTAAAGATGCAGCATTATTTAATAAACGTAAATAATAAAACATCCAGCAAAAAGTCGAGTAACTTTCCCACGTCCGACGTTTAAAATCGCGTGTGGCACCATCTGTTATGTTTTATTTAAAAACTTTTTATATAATTAATTAATATAAATGTCAAAAAGCAAATACAACGCACTAAAATCACTACGTACGGTAAAAGTCCACCGAACTTTTTTCATTTTTTTAACGTTTCCAGCCTATTCGTAGCCTATCTCCAAAGTGTAAAAATCTCCAAGGCCATTTTTTTGACCGATGGCCCTACTTTCCCTCTGTTATATATAACACAGCCGGAAAAGTAATAATTCATTAATTTTACAAGCGAAGACAGATGCCTGTCGCTAACTAAGTGATAATAAAAATTCTAATATTATTTTTCTACCAAGGATCGCTTCGGATCCGCATTCTAACGATCGGCTCTCTACCGTGGTCGATATCCCCCGACAACTTCATCGAATACGCGAACGATGTCGGCTCCGGCTCGATTCTCTTTTCTTTCTTTCCTATCGAAGTTGCCGAAGGTCAAAGGTTAAGCTACCCGCACTCGGACGACTATAAAGCCATCGTCCCGGAACCGTTGTTCTGTAACATTTCGTTGAAAATCCTAGAAACATTTTCCCTCCCAGGCATAAATTCAACCGAATAAACTTTATGTTAACATTTTGGAAAGAATAATGACAAATGTAGAAGCTTTGGAATGATGCTTAGGGTCGAGTTATAAACTCCGTAACGTAACTGTATCCGTATTCGTAAATGTTTGCTACACCGTATATCTATAGCGATAGTCATAAACTACCGGAGGCCTTTTCTGTATCCGTAAAGAACACACTTGCTTTACGGCTTACGAAGCACGCGCAAAATCATCGGTAGTTATGGCCAGCTATAACACTATATTTATTCCTTTTATTATTTTTCTATTTTTTATGACCGAAGTAACTCTTATCTTAAAATTTTATATTATTCGAAAGTGGCATTGTCGGTCAAAAGCGTATTCTTGACGAGTATCAGCTAGAAAATAGGGTTTGCCAATTACACTTTGAGGAACATTTTATAATCAGAAATTGGGAACATACTGTGAATGGTGAAGTAGTTATTATCCCCCCGTGATGTTCCAATACTGTCTGTTGATGCAGTTCCTACTAAGTTCGAAGGTTACCCAAAGTACTATAGTAATGTTTCACTGCCAAGGAAAAGATCAAACAGAAATTTAAGTAATAACACAAACAAGAAGAAGTAGGTCAACCCTCCTCTTCTCTCTTCGAAGGAACTACATATGGAGCCAGAATTGTCCTCCACATCTTCCTCGTTTTCGTCCCTTCGGCTTAAAGATTTTGAAAAGCTAAAAGTGTCGGATTTCTGGATAAGGTGCCCTTTAAAAAATGAATCTAATCTAATTGTGTATGCGGAAAACGAGCTAAAGTTAGAGGTCAATAGTGCTAGTCTAAATGCAGTAAAGCTAATAACTTTTGCCCAGTATGAAGATGTATTTTTGTGAAAAGTATATATCAAGGGTGTTCTTTTTGAAAAAATTTCATCAATTTCTTCTTTGCAGCAAGCTGAGGACATTATTGAAAATACAGATAAGTTGAAAATATGTAATGATGCTGCAACAGAGACAGAATTAGAATCAAACATTTTGTTTGGCTTTAAAAATATGAAAAATTTATTTGGCTATATCCACAGTTCAAAATGTTTGGTTATTGCTAACAATGGTAAATCCTGCATCCCCTGCAAATATACAAGGACTTTACTTGTAAGCCATAAATCTAGACAAAGAAAAACTAAAGTTAAAACATCAGAAACTGTGCGAAAGCCTCAATGTACTTATAGAGCTTTGAATAAAATAAATTCTAGATGAAGAAGGAAAGTACATAAATTACAGTCTGTAATCACCCAAATTCATACATCAAACAGTAAAATTCAGCAGTCTACATGGGAAGAAGAAATAAAATCATTGCCTGCAAAAGACCAGCTAGCAGTAAAGCACTGTTTTTTACATTTCAAACATAAATCCAACTATGGTTTTACCTTATAACCCAGAATGGATTTTGGAATGTATTATCATGAGGATAAAATTGTATGAGCATCTTAGAATCAAAAAATTCTTGCACTACCATGCCATAACACACTTCAGAAGTATATGAGAAGTTTTAAAAGTGGATTTGGCTTTAATCCAAAATATTTGATGCACTAAAAGAAAAAGTTAGAGAATTAGATGAATTTCAAAAACATGGTGGGCTTTCAGTAGATGAACTCTCAGAAAGTTATCACATTACATCCTCTGGTCTTATTGAAGGATTTGTAGACTTGGGTGATTTTACACCAGAACACACAAAGACTACTTCATGTGATCGTGGCATGGTGATAATGTACCAACCATTAACAGGAGACTGGCAACAGATTCTGGGAGTATTTGCAACTGGAGGCAATATATCAGGTAAGTAAATTATAGTACTTTTCTATTGTACATTTTGCAAATACTTCTAAAAAAATGTCATGTTAATATTACATAAACTCATAATAATTGACACATTTTTTAATCCTTTTTTTATAGGTGAGTTGCTATCAAAACTACTACTGGAAGCTATAACACTGGTTGAAAGATCTGGACTAATGGTAGACTTTAACACACGTGATGATACGTCATGGAACAGGAACATGTGGGCTCAATTTGGAATTGGATATAAGCCAGTTGGCAAAAAAATTTCATATAAAGTAACTCGTCCAGTAGATTCAAAGAGAAATTTTCATTTCATATCAGATTTCCCTCATTTCATTAAGTGCTTGAGAAATAATTTTTTGAAAGGTCCATTTAAAACCCCCGAATGGGAGGTGTATATTGAACATACGAAAAAGGCATGGAAACTGGATGATACTCCTGAAACCCTGAAATTTATGCCACATGTTTTCAGCTATGTAATTAATCCAAATAATTATGAAAAAATGAGGGTTAATTATGCATTCAGACTGTTCAGTGATGAAATGCTAAAAGGTCTATATGCCTATTGAGACAAAATTGAGGAGTTTTGGAATTATATCAGCTACACAAAATTTTGTTAAGCAAATTAATGATCTTATTAATATTACGAGCTCACGTGTTCCGTCTAATGGGTTGAGATTAGATTCGGATAAATGTCAGTTTTTGGTGACATTTTTAAATTATATAGATGAATGGGAGAAATCTGTTGATAGTAGTGATGGTAAAGGATTTTTAAGCAAAAGCACAGATACAGGGCTCGGAGTGAGCATTAACAGTACTCTTTTGTAACTCCAATACCTAACTCAACAGTTCAAATATAGATACATCCTAACTTCTTGTTTAAGCCAGGACAAAATAGAAAATTTGTTCGATATTGTCCGACAGTCTGCAGGTTGCAATGACCATCCTAATGCTAGTCAGTTCCTCACAATTATTAATTACCTGAGCCTCTATAATTTGGCTAGGTCACCAAAAACAGAAAATGTATTAAGTTCTCTTATCTCTGTACCAATCTTATCACAACTTGATAAAACAAATATTCAGAAAAAAACTGATGAGCTACTTGATGCTGGAGACATACCTGCTGCAGATAAGTATATTTCTGGTAGCAATTGGGTGGTAAAAGATCATTACCCATATATCAGAAAAAAAGTGACTCATGTTTAATTTATTATATATCCGGTTATGTTGCTTGAAAATGTATTTCAACGGTTTGTTCGAGTTGTGAAAATTGCTTTAACATAGTGCAAAAACCATACCAAAGTAACCCCAGTCTATGGTAGTGTAAGAGAACTGCACAAGAATTTTGTACAAGATATTTTAAATGATTTAATTTCAATGAAACGTATCAATCTAGTTGGCTGCAGTGAACATAGAGAAATTGTCACTAAATATATTGTAAAATTTTACTTACTGACTAGATTACATTTCCCCATAAAGGGAAATGTAATCTAGTTCATCATTCTAATCAACTTCGTTACATAATGTGCAACGACGGACCATGTTTTGTCCGACTCTCTATAAGATGCAACGCTCCCCTCCGACAGTATTAAATGCTGTAAAGATGCACTCTGTAACCTCACAAACTATTCCTACAGGTGTTGCATACACAAGGGACTTTACATAACCCCAAAGGAAGAAGTCAAGAACAATAATACGACGTCAATGGACAGAAGGCTAGCTACCAAAGCGAAGGGCGGTCGAGCACTTCCTACCGACGTAGAAACTTTACATCACATTTCAGGCTATGAGTTCCTTATATCAAAATTTCATTCTCTACAATCCCCCAAATTTTTAAAATGTCATTCCGATAAACCCTGTAGATATTACTCCACCGTAATTTTTAATTCTTTTATTTTTCTTGAAAAGGGTGAGAAATCTACACGAATATATTGATTTTTTAAGAGAGATTTTCCAAATATACAGCGTAAGAGTAGTAGCACAAATTTTGTGCCGTCTTCGAGAAACAGCCGCACATTAAAAAGTTTAGTTTATAGGCGTGGGTACTCGGCGGCAGACTAATAATCGTTTATTTGTTAAATACTTAATTTTGTAATTTTATATCGGGACAATAAAGTAACATTCCACTTTTATATTTTATATACCGTGTAGAATTTAATTGTAATTTTAATATCGCTTTATACTATGTCACTTAATACCCTACGAACAGTATACCGTATTAAGTAACCGACAGCATTTGCTTAATAAGTTCTATTTTAAGCCCTCACAATGGAAGAGGTTGGCAAAGCCATATAAAAGTTACATTTTATTATTAAAAATATGATAAGTTCTGTATTTTTTAGTAAATATGAATAAACCTTGTTGGTAACGACAAGAGTAGATTACTCTTGTACTCTAAATAATACTTGTTTGTACAGTACTCAACAGTCGAAATGTAAAAATAGACTATACAGTGTAGGCTATTTGACTTAAAAAGAATCTTAATTAGAAATAATAAAATCGAATTCCTTCGTGTATAAATGTTAATAAAATAATACTATATAATAATCGATTGCTGGCGATGCAATTTATTATCGATCTAAATTCTTTTACTTCGCTACGGCACATTTACTACGCTTAAAAATCCCGCTTAAAACCAATATAAACGTAGGACGATATAGCCAGCGTAGAGCAACGATTGACAGCGACGCCGCTGGCGTCAACCAATAAAGGGACACAAAAGAAGCTGAATTTCGACACTATTATCTAGCCACTTGGCATCCCCGTTGTCTCTTTGCTGAAGTTTCGTCGGTCGTTTCCGGCACAACTTCCGATTGTACAGCCACGCAGTGTTCGTTTAACCTCTGGAAAACGAACACCGCGGCTAAATATGCCAAATTTAATAGAAAACTGCCAAAACGACTTTTTCTTATCCCGAAAATGTAGTTGGATTTAAAGCCGAAGTAGCTAGTAATTATTAAAATATATTCTACTGTTTCGGGAATGTGTTTTTCTATTTCCTATTTGATATTTCAGAATTTTAGTTTTATTTCTGGTGAGAATGGATCGAGAATGGAATCACGTGTAATACTTTTCACTCACCTTTACATCCTTATAGTCTCCATATTCTAAAGGTTCCGATTTAATTGTTTGACAAAACTTCTCCTCTTCCGTCTTAAACTCTTTCTTGAAATTCTCTAAAGGAACTTCACACTTTGGTTCGAAGGTAAAATCCGAAGGTTCTTCTTTTATCTTCATTTTTTCAATTTACAATATTCTCGTACGTCGTCGATCTGTCTTCGACCAAAGCAAGATTTTAACACCGTCGAATTCGACTTTACATTTACATAAATCAACGGATACCGTTCGTATAAATTAAATTAGGCCTACTTACCTCTTTTACTAGAACGAATGGAAGTTAATCGTAATCGATTAATAAATATCCACAGGAAGGTTCTCCGGAAATTTAGAGCGAGTAAGGAAGAAACACGTGTTAACCGATTGCCGTTAACAGTGACACATGGCGAACAACACATGAAAATCACGTGTTACGTGGTAAATAACCACTATCCGAGAGACATCTGTGTGTATTTCTGTAACTAAAAATAAAGTTTTTAATTTCGCGTTTACGATCCGAAAATTTTCTGGAGACAGCGCTAAAATTCATCCATACGTACAAAATTTATTTTTTTCTAGTATTATAATTAAATGGAAAATAAAAAAAATTATTTTGTACAACCGAGTTATTAAAATTATTCACCGAACGCGAGTCTGGACGAAATGTGAGGGAAGTAAATACTTTTACGCCGGTTTTTCAAATTTTTAAACAGGAGACGAGTAAAATTTTAACGTAAAGAATATTATTGTACCATCGGCATTTGTAAAGAACCTCGAAAACGAAAGGATGAAATTCGATATAATTATTAAATTGCGGGCAATTCGATTTTTGAGCCTCGCTTTTTGTTTTATTTTCTGTTAAAGAAGAAATCGATGGCGTATTAGGGTCGTTGTTTCGGCTTCGATTCTTTCCGGACGATTAGCGATGCAGATTTAGGCCACTTTTAGATAAACTTCTTTTATGTAATACAGTAGAGTCTCGAAAACTCGGCACTCGATAACCCGGCAGTCGGGATAACTCGGCCGCGCCCTGGCGGTACAAAAAAATCCTTAGTTAATTAATTTTCGTTATAGACGGCTTTATGCCTGGTAAAGTATTTTTCCGAGGTCTGTCTTATCGGGTAAATTACTGTACACGGTGTATTCATTAATTTTCATTTTCGTGTAGTAAAGGCTCTACGCCTTCGTAAAGGACGTACTTTTCCTTTGTTTAAGGGTATTTGGGCAGTTTATTCTCTGTTGTATTCTCGAGTAAACAATATATACAAGTACAGTACAGTATTTTTTTTTAACCCCATTCCCGATAAACCGGCATTTTCACAGACTCGGCCACCCTTCGGTCCGCATTAGGCCGAGTTTTCGAGACTCTACTGTAGCGCTTAATTTTTATTTTCTAATAATTCGGCAATTATAAAAAGACGAAATTGTTAAATTAGAATAAAAAAACAACTAATTAACAATTTGTTTGAGAACTTTTAAAAATCAAAACGGTAATTTATTAGAATGTTTACTTCAAATTACTTAAAGAGTTCATTTGCTTTAAGCCCGGTGCAGTACTAGTTGTATGTCAGAGAATACTATCTCTTCATTTTATGCTACTACATCTTCATAGAAATAATAATGACAAATGACGATAAAGTTAAAAAGCTCCCGTTTCGTTTGTAAATTGCTTATTTTTTCATTACATTGAAGTTTTGGATCCTATTAAACATTTTTGTACGGGATGTACAGTACGTACTGTACCGTACATTTCTATGTGGCAGTCTTTGGAACGTATCGACTGCGCAAAAAGATAGACGCGGGACCTAATTTAGACCTCGGCGGGCCCTAGCCAAAATAATATTTACGGGTCCCTTTACAAATTTTGTATTACTACAAATATAAATAAAACTAATATTTAAAATTAAAGTATTTTTTTATTTTTACATTTGAATATCTTGCATTGTATTTTTGGGGCTACAATAAAATTATGCGGCAATAAACATATTTTTCTCAACAAACTGCTTCATTCTGAAGTTCACCGAACGGATGTAATGCGCGTATACAAACATTATGTAATTCTCGGCCATGTTATTAGACGTCGGAGCATTAGGTAATTATTAACCCTCGAATACGGCGCTAATAATATAGTAATTCGCGATACTAATAAAACAATGACGCGTTTAGAACATACTACGGGTCCCTGGCGAGTGCTTTGGCCGCCTGGTGCCAAATTAGGCCCCGGATAGATGCGATCGATATTCGCAGTAAGTAAAATGCCGTTTTATTACGTCGATATTCCGTACTGTAAGAAATGCCAGGTCGGAGAATTTGGACAAAGTCGGTCGGGAAAACTCAGGGAAATTACGGAATTGAAAATAAAAATTTGAGTAGGAACCGCGTATGTATCAAATAACCTTCATTAATTTATTTTTTAATCATTTAATGATGTGTAATCTATTTACCTTTACGGATAAAAGACAACATTGTTTTTTTTTGCCTTTCGTAATACTCGTAATATTACAGAAGCCGCATTTTAAGCAGACAAAAGGAAAGTTGCGCATTTTTATGATTATAATAATTTTGTTACGATGTACA